TCTGCCGCCACCTCCCAAGATTTCATCTGAGTATGGATCTGATCCGACACTGTGTGAACGCCTGAAAACGATACGCTGACGTAGGAGCTCTAGTTGCCGAACCACATCACTGTGACTTGCACCTTCCTGATTCTCTGGGTTTGTGACATTGGTCATGTGACACTATTGCGTAAAACAGTTTAAACAAACCAGAGACAAACAGGAAACAGCGCAGCTAAAACTACTTGCTAGTAGAAAAGACTGTTTTCATTGTCGCCATTCTCCTTGGCTTGAAATTGGCTGCTGCATCTTCAGACATGATGCTCCACAGCCTTGTTTTTAACGACGTCATGACGTTGTGACAACATGACACCAGCCTAGTTTATGTGACTAGCGTTTCAGGCAGTTTCATGTTACTGTGTGGATCATGTCTCGACGCAAATCGTTTCCGATATGGTGATATGAGGATACAGTGATTCATTTCAGTGTAAACGTAACCTAAGGGAGTGTGACGTCACCCATAGCATTTGGCTCCAGTCAAATGAAGCTCAGTGAAGCTGGCAGTTATAGGAATGAATTTGAAGCCAGTTCCATATTAGGAATAGGAATTTGATTTATGGACAAAATAGTTAAATAAAAGCATCAGAATCACAGAGTACGTTAATATGAACATTTTAAGACCAAAATGCCTGACAGCAGTAAATATAGAGAGAGGGGCACTTTTTTCAACAGAAAATGAATTGGAGCCAGAGTTCATGGAGCTGGAAGCGCCCACATGCTCACTAGCTATTTGTAGCTATGCCCATTTCTAAATACAGTGTATGATCTGGACAGGTGTTGTGCAGAAAAACTTGTTAACTTTTGGACTAGTACCACATACAACACTCCATCTCCATTTGAGCATGACCAACTGACAAATCAATGTCCTGAAACGGCCTCTCATCGAAAACTGGTACACAGAAGTAAACGGCACCATTTCTTAAGTACCACCCGCTCTTAGCTTGGTGAAGGAGAAAATTGCCGCATGTTGCCGTGTGACTGGAAAGTGTGAAATACTGCTTTAAGTGTGTGTTTGGTTTACAGCGGTCAACAACAGGCTGGGAGTGAACACACCACAGATCATTCAACGAGGAGGAGAGGGAATGCTATGACCAAAGGTTGTTAAAGCTAAAATACAATCCTGGACCTCTACTATACAAGAAGAGAAAAAAGGGTGAACGTTTTTGATGTGTCCAAAGAAATATTGATCCTCTGAGTAATGCCACTGTGGGGGGAGCCATCTTAATCTTGGCTCTGTTCCTTAAAATGTCAACTATCTCCCACACCAGCCTTTACAACTTCATATGAGATGTAGTGATGAAAGAGGACAAGAAAGACAGCACAGTACAGATGAGTAGTAGTCCCAGTGGTTGTCCTCAGTCCAGTGTTGGAAGAAATAAGTGATTTTGTTACTTATGTAAAAGTACAGACACCAGAGCAACAAAATACTCAAGTAAATGTAAAAATATCACATAAAAACCTACTTAAGTAAAAGTATTAAAGTTCCTGTTGTACTTGAAGACTGAAAATTAAAAGTATTTCAGCTTTTGAGATCTGATAAAACTTCAAATATACTGATTTTGATGCAGGTTTGTGCTGTTTTGTTCATCAAAAACAATGGAATGAATTGTTTTTGCTGTTTGCATTTGTATATTTTTGTTTGCTTTAACTATGAACGTGTTAAAAATAAAAACTCAGCCTTTTCAACAGCTCTCACACGCTAATAAAAAAAATATTTTTACTTTTCAGTCCAGTTCAAAAATTTAGTGGAATGGAAAGTACAGATACCTGCTCTCAAATGTAGTGAAGTAGTGAAGTGTAGTGAAGAAGTATGGACTTGAAAATGTACTTCAGTAAAGTACGGAAAACTAAACTTTACACAGGGTTCCCATTCTTTTTCATTACTTTACGACACCGGCATGTGCAGAACTGATCAGACTTTTAGGGCTAAATATGAAATGTTAACCCTTTCCACTCACCTTATGGTTTGGTATTTCAGTTTTTTAACATTTAAAATACTGCCAGTGCATTTATTGTCGTCTCTTTAAAACAAAAGGCACATAAGTTCGGAAATAATCATAATAGCCCTAATGAGATTGTAGTTAGATGTCTGAGTTACTTGAAAGAGACATAAAATTCCATGACTTTTCCAGGATTTCCATGACTGTTGATACTTAAGTACAGTATTTTACTACTTTTACTTTGTTTCATTCCACCACTGCCTAAATTCAGATCTAAATCAAATGAATAGTTTTATAGGTGTAATGTGTAACTTTTCTGATAGAGGGCCCACCAGTTACTTGTCTCCATGGAGATGTTATTGCTTTAACTCCAGTACTCCAAACTATGGCATTAAACTTTTCAATCTCCACAGAAACAAGCAGGAGATGCTAGCAGGTCAGTTTACAGGTGAGATCTGTGAAGAGGCGACCCCCTCACAGTTAGAATTCATGTTTTTAAAGGTGTTTTTGAGCAATAAACACTTCCATAATTGAATAAATGCATCTTATAGAAGTGTAATACTGTATTGTTGAGCATTACATCTTCATGGTAGCTAAACTGGGTAACTTATGTGTGCATTGTGTCACCATGGTAACTGTCAAACCAATAGAGATGCATGTAGAACACCCCCAGCGTGATGTCACTGCAAAGTATCTATACAAATAAACTTGCCTCGACTTTTCTCACTTAGATTGACCTTAGTGATACCACAGTGTGCCGACAGAGAAGGCTTAGTATGCCATACACACAGAGAATGATGTTGGTGGAATAACTGATAAATTTGTCCTTTACCTCCTCCTGTATGAAGCTGCAGGGATGTCTCTGAACTACAGAAACTCCATGTAGTTCACAGACTGAGTTTGTGAAGGCGAGGTTTCATTGAACTTCAAATGTTCAAATATTCTGAAGAAAGGAGCAGTGTGCTGGTTTAGACTCCTGAGGCTCAACACTGACAGTGTCAGACTTACATTAAAGAGCTAATATAATGCATTTTTATGATCTATGTTATAATGTTGTTTCCTCATCACAAACAGACCTGGAGTTGAGTTTTGTTTCATTCACACGTTTCACACACAAATCCTGCATATTTAGGCTGAGTTCTTCTTTCAACTGAAAACACTCCTTTATTATTAGTCTGTTTACATCTCCAAAGCTCAAAATACTTTGTCCCACCTTGTGATGTCATGTATTATTACTGTGTTTTTAAACCCCATACACATTCACTAGAATAATTTGGATGATTTCAGACCTGGACTTGCCATTGAACAAAAGGAAAAAGTAGCTGCTCACTTAAAAACTGCTGCTTCGTAACATCACAAGGTGGAACAAAGCATTTAGAGCAGGGGTCGTCAAACTAAGGCCCGCGGGCATACTCCGACTCTCCACGTCCCTTTGACCGGCCCCCCAGCCCCTCTGCCCCCACCACATGAACTGGCCCTATGAGGCAATCCTCAAAAGTTGTCATGGCCTGTTTTTTATTACTTTTTGGCAAATAATAAAACATCTGCATCTTGTATTTTGTTGATGTTTTCAGTAAAAAAATATATTTATATTTATATTAAAATTATTATCACATATTTACATTTACCACCAAATTTGGCACCGAATTTTCATCACCTGACAAGCTCGAGATCAAACAGTGACAGTCAACACATGGGCAGAGTTCTGTAGTGCAGTTAAGAACAGCAAAATGGCTCGTGTTAAAGTATGAAAACTTGACAGAGAGTGCAGAGTTTTCAAAGAAAACTGGACAACCAGTTATTTTGTTATTCGGTGTAAGAATCGTACAGTTTGTCTGATATGTAAAGAAAGTGTTGCGGTTTTCAAAGAATATAATCTGCATCGTCAGGGTCGTACAATTCTGTTATACGGCCGACCCGACCCCGGTCCCCATCACAGTCAGGATTAGAGCTTTGGAGATGTAGACAGACTAATAATAAAGTGTTACTCAAATGTGTGAAAGAACAAAACAACTCCAGACATGTCTTTGATGGCAACAGTATTATAACAGGGCTTAAAACCTTACTTTGGATACATACATTTTATGTCAGACTGTGGAAGATTAAAGCCAAAGCAACAACATCTCCAGGGAAACCAGCTGCAGTAGGTCTAGTAAGAGTCCCTTTAAGGGTCATTATTGCATAGTCTGAAGAAAATACTAAAAATACCCATTGTAATAACATAAAAAGGAACTTTGAAAAGCTTCCATAAAATGAAGTCTGAATAAGCAAAATAATGTTTTTAACAAAGTAAAGTAAGTTGGAAATGTGGATCTTTGTGTGAGACTGATTCAATTGTGACATTTACAAATGGAAAACTTGTTTAATTAAAAATAATTGTGTTGCCACCTATAGTTAGTGCAAACTCGAGTACAGTACATGACAGCTAATTATTATGAGCCAAAGGCCGCAGTGAGGCAGAGAAGTGAGGCGTGCAGAATGGTGCGTAATGAGCGTGTGCTGAAAAGTCCTCTCCTTTAAAAAGCTCAAACACTTCCACATAAGGCCATTTATAATGCAAAACACCACACATCCACAGTGAGCAGCCTTCTCCCAGCAGGTCTAATTATAGAACCCACAATGGATGTACCTTCACCCCTGAACTCAGCTACCTGCATCAGAGTCCTCTGTTATTATGAAGAAACCACAGTGTCTTTAGTGATCCACCTGCACAAACAAATTTCTTCTATTTGTTTTCACTTAAACTCAAAACCTGTTTTGAGAAGGGTCTTTTGACGACAGGTCACAGCGCACGGCAGAATGTTGGGACTGTAGTGAATGAAACAGACATGAAACAATGATTTATGACACGAGAAAGTGACATACATCCACTCTCCGGAGAGAGAGGGAGTGGCAGGTGCGAGGGTCAAGATTTGTTAAACCTTAAAACTTTTAAAACCCACAATAAAGACAAAGGGGTCTGAGTGGAACAGCCAATATCCTTTTATTCATCATAAAACCCATGTCAACAGTATTGACACATGTCGTCAGTTAAATAAAAAAGATACAAAAACAAACATACAAAAATGCCCATTCTTCCTCATTTTTATTCACAACAACCATTGTGGCCTTTACATCAAGGCTTTGGATGCTTTGTGTAGCTGTTTACACGAGGCATAAATTAAACAGAGGGTAAATATATGCTGTCCACTGATCAGGACATTCTGGGACAAAAGCCCCATGATCAATAGCCACTTTCTGTGGAGAAAACTGAAGAGAGATAACATTGTAAAGGTCAGGATGTCTCAGTGCATTACAAATGTTATTGCAAATTGAGACACCTTGATACAGGGCAAACTGTTTTGTGACTGGTATCTGTTTCTGAATCTGAACTAAGATCTACACACATAATACTCTCTTTACCCAGCAGCCAGGTGGATATTTTACTTTTTAACCTCAGCACAAATGTTCAATTTAAAGTTTTCCACATTTAATGAGTACTCTGTCTAACTCACACTTCTTAACCCCTGAATGTGTGAATAAAACGGCCAATTAACAAGAGCAGTGCTTGCGTGGACAGTTGTTTGGGGTGAGGGCAGACTAATGCGCTCTTCTTGTTTAATGAACTGGACAAAGTGTGGCTAGGCTGGTAAAGAGAGGATTTATGCCAGACAGAGGCGTAAACACTGTATATTGCTGAAAAACACTGGTGTTAAGCAAATAACAAAAGCATTAGATGTCAACAGACTGACACAATAAAGATGGTCCCTCTGTGATAGAATCAATCAGGGAGCAGCAGGAAGTGGATCTTACTTGATTGGGTTTTCTGAGCTGCCTCAGTCAGACAGAAATGCTGATGAGAGGCTCTCAAAGGCTTAGCTCTGGACCTATTACTCCCTCCCCTCGTGGACTTAAATGGAGCTCTGTGTCTTGATAAAAGCTGTCCGCTCACTGTGGCTGTCCACCTCCTCGCTGTCTGATTCAGACTCGTACGTGATCATGTCCTCATCGCCCCACACGGTGGGGATCCCCTTGTAGCAGATCTTGGCTTTCCTGTGGGAGTGCTGGCTGCAGTGAAACCCCAGGCGTATGCCCCTGCTGTGAGAGTACACAGAGGGCAGTGTGGTCCTCCAGCTCTGGGCAGGGCGGCCCCAGCGCCTCTGCAGCAGCAAAAAGAGCCCCACAAACACAACCAGGACCAAGGCACAGCTGAGCACAGCCAGCACTGTGGGTAGAGGAGAGGAGCCCCTGTCTGTGCTGTCAGAGTCTGAGGCTGGGCCCGCACCTGCCTGCTCTGACCCCTTGTCTCTCTGGGCCCCTCCTGATGAGGGGGACTTGCGCTGCACCTGGTTCTGGTGTAGACAGGAGCTGAGCACCAGGTGGCTGTGAGGGGGGCAGGAGAGACAGTCTGTGGGACCAGGGCCGGAGCAGGTGAGACAAGCTGCGTGACAGGGCAGACAGGCCTGTACGGAGGAGAGGTCCACCCAGTTCTCCAGAGACAGGTTCAGCAGCTGGAGCCCCGAGGTGAAGCCTGGAGGGCAGAGCTTCACACAGCCTTGCAGGAAGAGGGAGAACCCCGGACTGCACTCTGGAACACACACGACTCACAGTGAGGCACGAGCACAGAAACAACTGTCCAGTGATGATATCTCTAAACATATATCTGTAACTTCACATATTTTCACAAGGCTGTTTTACACTGCTGTATTTCTCTAAATTTAATTGGTGCACAGTGTGTTTAGGCTGGAGGTATGCAGTCATCATGAGAGCAGATGTTGACAGTGTTGCTCCTCTCCGGCTGGAGCAGTGAGTGTACCCTTCTGGGCCATCATATGTCTCAAGCTCTAATACGGCATATGGGACCATGCATATTCATGGTTCATAAAGAGATGCACAAAAGCCTTGTGAATATGCAATCTGCATTCTCTGCACAGTGACAAGTTCAAACAGTAACTGTGACCTGCAGCTAGTTGTGTAACAATGCCATTGAAAACATTTACATTTGTTCACATTTGCTCTCACCAATACAAATCTGCTGAGCATCAAAAGTCTTGCAGCTGTTGTTGGACGGCCGAGGGAAATCCGACGAAGACGGGTTCACAACACTCGGCCCAGTTCCCCATAAGATAAGAGTGAACTGACTCAAAACACCTGAGAGTAAGAAAAAGAGAGAGAGAAAAATGTCTGTTTAGCACTTTTAGACAGACGTGGTGGAGAAAGTGGTGAAACTAGGTGGAGGTGGACTGAAGAGAGCAGTGAGGGCTGAAATATTCCCTGGTTGCTCAGACTGAACACACACTACACAACAGTCTACTGCATATTGATTGGATGAATAAAAGATGCTAAAAATGCAATACTGTTATATGTAAACATTTATGGAAACAGTTATCGGTATTACTGGTTTATTAATAATGTCTAGGGTTGAAATTATCAGCATTATACAACTGATGCTCGGAAAGAGCCAAAACAAGACAAGAATCAATGCCGAGCAGAATCAACCACAGTGAGAGGGTTACCATAGTCACGACTATTAGCCGCCATGTTCTCAATCTCAAGGGTCCACTCTCCCTGTGGATCCTCATCCCAGGAGTGTGTGGACATAAAGGCCCAGTCATTGAAACCCTCTGTGGAGAAGTCATTAGGCCTGGAGAGAGAGCAAGGCATGATGGGTAAAAAGTGATTCTTTTGATTTCAAAGCAGAAAATCACCATTCTTTTTCAGAAGAAAAGGCAGAAAAAGCATTTTGGGAGTACATGAGGTACACCTTCAGAAGAAAGCGGAACACTGCCATCTCGAAAATTTTTGAGAGGAGCTCTGACTTCTTTTGGCAAAAAAACTGTCTCTAAGTGGGGCAGGAACAGGAGTTATGACTGCTTATATAATATACTATACTATATCTACTAAAGTCATAATAATGCCGCATTATTTGGAGAGCAGTACTAAAATATATGAGTATAATTGGATTAAATAATAAGTAAGCAAGCATAATTGGATTAAATTGATTCACATATTTACACACAAATACATAGATCAGATCTATAAAACAAAACTGTGGTTATAATGGTTCAGATCTGTCTTTAGGGCATCAGTACCTGGGGAAGAGCAGAGTGGCGCGTGTGCCCAGTGGGCTGAGCAGGTGAATGCCCAGTTTGCCCCTCTGGTTATGGGACAAAGTGATGCGAGCCTGCACATGCTCCAGGGAGCTGACATACTCCAGCCGTCCCCAGCAGGCGTCCACTGTCCTGCTGATCACCAGTCTGTCCCCTATGTCCCTGCAGTTTGACAGCACACGGGGAAGGCCGCAGTTAATGAAGCAAAATGGACACAGACTTCAACAGAGTGTGACAATAGCAGCTCGGAGGAGGATTCTGTGACATATATCAGGCTGAGCCGGATGATAAAACTTTATGTGTGTGTAATGGAGAGGATTACCCACAATCCCACATGTCTAGAGCAGTACGGCTCTCACCTGGGCTCTGTGAGCATGTTGATCACACACTCATGTTGAGGGCCCACTGAGGTCCAGTTCTGAGCCAGAGCTACCATCGCCCCAGCGTCCAGGAGACCGTATCCATACGAGTGACTCACTGTATGGAAAGAGGATAAGAACATGAGAAGAAAATTTGTATGTTTATTTATTTTGACAGCTGCTAATGATCAAATATCTATGTGCTCTATAGGTACAAATGCAGATTTTGAAATGGAAAAAACTAAAACAAACAATAAAGCATCAAAATAAAACCCACTACTGCAGAAAATATGAATTCATAGAAACCAAATTTGAAGTTTGTGAGCTAAAACCAGTCACCACGGGTAGGCAAATATAACCTGTCACAATAATTTTGTACAATATACTGCTAAAATAAATATGGACAGTAAATTATAATATTAAAATTAGTTCATGCCACTGACAAAATAACAGAAGAGCAGATTTAAAACACAAAAACGATTCTAAATGTAAAATATTGTTAAAAAATCATGAGCTGGTGTAAATAAACAGCAGAATAAACCACTAAAGTACTTAGTTTGCATTTGTAATGAGTCATAAAAGTTATTCATTCAACCTTTCACAGCTTAAATCTTAAAACATACAGACAAAAAATAACCACACATTTTTCAAAGAAAAAGTACACATATATTAAACGATAAGTCGATATAGTAATTACCGTGATGGGCCTAGTATAACTAATAGGTTTAAGTAGTGTAAAAAGTAAAAAATAATTAGACTAAACATTATTTTTTCTTACAATTTGTGGTGTGGATCAAGCCAAAAAAAAAAAAAAGTTCTGGAACAAACTGTCAATATTTTATTATAGCTAACCTGAGTTTTACCTGTTACCTGCTGGGTAGATATGGATTCATGCATTAAAAAGTCTTCAGAAACAGCAGTGCGTGTTTACCTCTGCGCCCCACTCCATTGGTCCTCCAGTCTCCGGTGCTCAGATGCCTGGGCAGGGATGTTCTCACCACCAGATGCTGCATATCCCTCCAGGTCAGGTTCATACTGCACAAAGACAGAAAAAGAGACATTGATTTTCTAACTGTAGAGGCGAGAAGAGTTAAAGCTTCTATATATTACACAGAATTGACTTTTTTGAGCTTTAAGCCGTGTTAGAATGCTGTTACATCTTCAAAAACATAAATGGGGTTGTGTTTCGTTTCATTCACACGTGTTTGAGCAATCGGCATTATAACAAAGATCAGAAAAAAGCCCTTTATATTATAGGCATTGTGAACTGTTGCAGTAGTTGAACAGTGTAATGTGGCAGTGGAAAATATGAGGCCTAGTGGAGTATTAAAGGTCACACGCATAAGTTATAATGGTAATATACAGAGAATATGCCTCTGAGTTATGAGCTCATGTCACGGGGTTAACACTGGTGCAGAAAGATATAAAAACATCTGAAAAGGGGTGCTAAATTATGACTACTGTTCATGAGGGTTGGTGTAAAAAATAACATAACTTCTAGGGCCCATATTACGCTGTTTTCTGATCTATGTTATAATGTTGTTTCTTCATCACAAACATATCTGCAGTTGTGTTTCGTTTCATTCACACATGTTTAACACACAAATTCTGAATATTTAGGCTAAGTTCTTCACCACACACCTTCAGCAGAATCATTTGGATCATTTTAGCCCTAGAATTCACAATCTCTACTGGACAAAAAGTAAAATGTAGCTGTTAACTTGAAAAATATCACTACATAACATCACAAGGAGCATTTTGTAGACAGGCTAATAATAAAGGATTAAACAAACGTGTGTGAATGAAACAAAACACAACTCGAGGTTCGTTCTAACATGACTAAAAGTCACAAGAGGCAATTTTGTATACTGTATTTTCTGCACTATTAGGGTGCTCTGGATTATAAGGCGCACTGTCACTGAATAGTCTAGTTTTCTGACTTTTTTCACATATAAACCGCACTGGACTTTAAGGCGCATTAAACAAAACACAACAGTTCGATGGGTCAGTGGGACTTTGTTTGTCGCGTTCACGGTGACTCTGGGCTTTGTTCATTTGTGGCGTGTAGGGAGGGTGCTGTCTGGGACCGCTGGATTGTTGGCGTGTTCACAGTGACTCAGTTGTTCAGTTGTGGCTAGAAGCGGCACATTGCACTCGCTTTTTCGGTTCGTTCCTCCGTTCCGTTCCTCGTCGGCGTGGAGGGATGAGTGTGGCTGCGGGTGTTTGTCGCTGCGTGGTCGCTGTCTGCTCCGTGCGGGTGGTGCGGCTTTGTAGTTGACTGAAGTCGTGCTGGGACACCCGAGTGGATTCGTGTTTAGGGCACTTTGGATTGTGGGGTGCGCAGTCGTTTTTTGATGGGGTTGGAGGCTTAAGAGTGCGCGCTATGGTGGGGAAAATACGGTAATATAGGACTTTTAAAAATAACAAATCTTGACCAAAAAGACGTACAAGTTCAACCTATGTAAAAAGTAAATTACGGGCAACTAGGGGTGAACAATTTTTGGGGAAAAAAATGCTATTTTTCTGACAAGCGTTGCAATTAGATTTGATTAGATCTGTTTTAATTAATGGATTCTGTTCAGAGTTCACTTTTTATATGACACAAAATTGACTCATGAGCTTTAAGTCATGCTATAATGTCCTTACCTCATCAAAAACATACCTTGAGTTGTGTTTTGTTTCAATCACACACATTTAACACACAAACGCTCCATATTTAGGCTGAGTTCTTCACCATACACCTTCACCAGAATCATTTGGATAATTTCAGCCCTAGAATTCACAATCTCTACTGGAACAAAAAGTAAAATGTAGCTGTTAACTTGAAAAATATCACTACATTACATCACAAGGAGCATTTTGTAGATTGATTAAGCCCTTATTATTAGTCTAACATGTGTGAATGAAGCAAAACACAACTTGAGGTTTGTTCTAACATGACTTAAAGCTCACAAGCGGCAATTTTGTGTAATACAGAACCTTTAAAAATAACATATCTTGAGTAAAAAGATGTACAACTTCAATTTATGTAAAAAGTCAATTACGGGCAAGTAGGGGTGAATAATTTGGGAACAAAATTGCTATTTTTCTGACAAAGCACTGCAATTAGATTTGATTAGATATAGTTTCATTAATGGATTCTGTTCAGACTTCACTTTTTAAGGTCTAGTATTACACAAAATTCACTCTTGTGAGCTTTAAGTCGTGTTATAATGTCGTCACCTCATCAAAAACAGACCAGAGGAGTTGTGTTTTGTTTCATTCACACATGGTTAAGTAATCCTGGTTTATTAGTCTGTCTACATCTCCAAAGTTCAAAATGCTCTCTTTCTCCTCATGAGGCTGTATTCTTCAAGTTAACGGCTGCCTTTTACCTTTTGTTCAGCTTGAGATTGGCAATTCCAGGAGAGTGAATCCACCGCAGTTCACCCAATGAGTTAAACCCTACTTTGTCAAATTTAGATGAAACTTGGTAGATAAGTAACTCAGAGCCACGCAAAAAAGTGAAATATCTCAGCAACTGTTACTCCCATCATGCTAAAATTTGAGATTTTGGCTTCCTTGGCTATGACTTAACCGTACACCAATTTTCTTTGCAAATGGACAATGTGAGGGTTCAGATTGCATTTTTGGGGGGTGAATTGAGGTGGAATGACCCAGAATTGTGAAACGCTCCAAATGATTCTAATGAAGGTGTAAAAACACGGTGGAGCACTTCCTGTATCCCCATATGACATCACAAGGTGGAATAGTGTTTTCAGTTTGTGGGGGTTTGTGTGTTAAACATGTGAATTGAAACAAAACACAAAACGCTTCTCTCTGTCCAACAGAATTGACAAAAACACTAATATAATAAAACTGAAATGAGCAAATGACAAACTAATTCAAAATCACATGTATTTCAAGGAATATCTTGGAACAGATCTAAACTCCAGGGTTAGCAGTTTTTATGGAGAAAAAGACAGGACATATTGTTGTTTGTAGAGGAAACTGCAGCCTTTGCGATTTGCTAATTGTGTCCACTCAAACTGAGATCTGGTCCGATTGTGATTCTTGCAGACTTCCCAGCACTGCGTTAATGTCTTACTGTAGTATATTTAACTGTCTGCAAGTAATTTACATGTTTCGCTATTAATTATAACAAACAATGAATCATCAGGCAATTACTGTATTCAAAAACACACAATATAAAACTGCTACAAAGCCTTTTTTTCTTTTCTGCCTACTCACACTGCTCGCAAGAGACAGATGCCTTAGCGAAACTAAAGAAGTAAACAAAAAAACTAAGGAACAACTGGGGAAAGTGCCTGGTCACTGGTAAACACATTTATCACACTATGGTGGATACTTTTAAATGGATGCTATTGTTTGGTATTTAGCATCTTAAAATCTCCATTGGTTTAAACGGTTCAGTATTACCCAAATGGACTTTTGTGAGCTTTAAGTCATGTTATAATGTTGTTACCTCATCAAAAACAGACCTGGAGTTGCGTTTTCTTTCATTCACACACGTTTGAGTAATACTTTATTATTAGTGCATCCACAAACTCAAAGCTCAAAATGTTCTGTTCTACCTTGTGATGCTTTTTACCTTTTGTTTAGTAGAGATTGGCAATTCCAGGTCTGAAATTCTCCAAATGATTCTAGTGAAGGTGTATGAAGCACTGCCTAAATTGCCTTCCTGACATCACAATTTGAGCCGAATGTTGTCATTTTGAGAGAAGTACTCATCCTAAATATGCAGTTTGTGAGTTAAACATGTGGGAATGAAACAAAACACAACTCCTGGTCTATTTTTGATGAGGAAACAACATTATAACAGATCATAAAATAAGGTAATATGAGCCCTTTAACATTAAACTAGCTGAAAATTCCATGAGGTATGAAACAATTCTTATATCTCTGGTTTTAAACTCCTGCTACTGATAAAACTGTTCACAGGCTAGTTTATATTATATTGGTAAATAGGGCTGGCTGTCATTTAAAAGTTGCCGATATGATACACACCTCAATACACAGGCCACGATACGATACATATCTCGATACAGTGAGCTTATAATTCGATATATTTCAAATCGATTTGATCCTGTTCAATAAAGAATAAAGGATAAATCACAGCTATGATACTAAAAGTCTTTGTTAAACCACTTCTTGTGCAAAGTTAAAATGAAACACACCTTTTTTTAAACATCAAAACAGTGAAAATGTCAAATGTGTCACATGCATCCACACGGCCCAGCAAAAAGTTTCTTCTGGTCCAGGAGAGACTTGTGCTGTGTACCTTTATAACACATCATTTCTAAAATAGATGTTCCTAGGACTACAACAGGACGCCTATGTACAATTCACGAGTGTTACACCAAAACATCTGAAAGTTTTCTCAAAGAGTTGATATAATTTAGTTGAGTAATGAAATAAAGAATTTTGTTGAGTTTAAGCTGCGTGTCATATATTCAGAGTGTTTTCTTGGCTTCCGAATGTTTGAGAGAAGTACTCATCTTAAATATGCAGTTTGTGTGTTAAACATGTGGGAATGAAACAAAACACACCTCCTGGTATATTTTTGATGAGGAAACAACATTATAGCAAATCATAAAATAACGTAACATGGGCCCTTTAATATAAGGTGAGCTGAAAATTCACAATCCTTGAATCTCTATGGTACTAAACTTTTGCTACTGACAAAACTGTTAACAGGCTGATTCTTATTATATTGGTAAATAGCTACGATACCAAAAGTCTTTGTTAAACCACTTCTTGTGCAAAGTGAATTTGAAACACACCCTTTTAAATCATCAAAACAATGAAAATGTCAAGCGTGTCACATTAACGAGTTTCCTTCTTTTGAACAAGCAACAAAACTGCAGCACTGTAACAAAATAATTTTGTAAAATATACCAAAAAATGCTCTTGGCAAAACATCGATACAGCAGCCCACAATATCGATACTGTATCACCACATTAAACAATACGATATATCGATATTACAATATTTTTGCACAACCCTATTGGTAAATACATTAAACTGGTGATTT